AGTGATGTCAGGCAGCTGACCTGCTGATGCACTGTAGACAAGCCCACTACAGAAGAGCAGGTAGTGCCAAGCTGGGTGGCTGGTTCCAGTTTAAGACGAGGGTGATGTAGGATTCCAGCTATAAATCAAGGGTTTCTGCACAGCAATTCACTTAGACCATGTTACATCCTAGAACTGGATCAGTTTCCTCTCAAGAAACTGGCTGCAGTCTTACACTCTATTTGAAAGACAACAAGCAGAATCTTAGAGCCTTAAGGACTACACTGAGACTGCCTCTCTGACCACCTAGAGAGATCATTTTAAAGTAAAAGTCTTCTATTAATTTGTTCTGAAGTGACCTTTTACAGACTTGTAGTGCAGGACACTCCAATAAACACGGCTTTAGTTAAGGTCTTCAGGTTTGTAGTCATAGTCATAACCCAGCAAAAATGAGAGAACTTCCACTGGTTTTACTGAGCTTAATACACTGATCTGTCATGTCTAGCATGATTTATGTGAAGTCTTTTCTTCTCTGTAAATTCATTTCAGATTTCAATAGAAACAAATTTAGGCAAATATGCAACCAGACTTCTGAGTTTACAGTTAGTTAATCATTTCCAGTGACACTCACCAGAGGGAAATTATGGAGAACTTTATAAATTAGATTCACCTTCTATAGCTACTACATCAAGCTTGGCATTTAGCAATCTGGGGCATTACTGGACTAAAGAAGAGAGTTAAAATTCACCATAGTCAAAAAATAAGCAAATGAGGTAACAAAACCCATTAAAATACCAGTGACGTACAGCTACTGCATACAAAATATTGTCATACTTGTACAACTTTGAACACTTTCTCAAATATATGTTCATGTCCAAATATATTTGGACCCTTGTCTGAATGTATGTAAATAATACTGTAGCTCCCAGACATTTCTGTCATATCAATGCCTTTCTTCATTTCCTAAATCTACCTTTGTATGTTTAAATATCCACTATGAATCATTTTACATTAACTCAACTAAATTTCATTTTACCAATGTTATTTATTTTACCTTCCTCCGTCATTTATCAAAGCTGTTTTGTAGTCTACTATATCCTCTACGGATGCATAATCCCTCCCAGCTTTGTATCACCTTAATATTAGGTTAGTAAGTCTCTTCACAGTTTTTAATTGACGTCTCTGGTATCCTATTCAAAGCATTCTCCCAAGATAATGGGATAAAGTATTACAATTACCACATTTTTAATAATTTTTAAACAGTTATCACACAATATACATGCAGCATTTGCTTTGAGAAAGCAATGTGGTTTCCACTTTGAAGTCCTCATAAAACCATGTCCTCATCAAAGAAAAAAACCCATGGTTTTGACTAATCTATGCTGTTTAGGATGTATATAAATATATATAATCAGAAGTCAAGTGCTTATTTTTTATAAGTGTTATGAAAGTCTGTACTTGATGTACAGTGGTTTGCAGTCCCCTAGGTCTTCAGTTGTTTTTCATCTGTGTTATGTGACAGTCAAACTACTTGATTGAAACAGGTATTCCTGGCTTTAGCACTTAGTCATCTTCCATTGTACAAGAATACTTAAGTGAACTCAAGTGCCATAAATTCACTACCTTTGCAAAAATGACTACCAGTTACGACTGTGAGGTAATGGAATTTATTTTTTTCTAATTAAGATATGTCATATGGGAATATGTTCAAGCTCTCAAATACTACCCTACAAAAAGCTAGAAACTCTTCATGAATCCTGACTGCCTCTAGTTCACAACCAAAACCAGCAATAAGCCACAACCCTGAAAAAGGACATTATTCACAGGAAAAATACATACACCTGCCAAAGGGCAGATCACCCACCCTTCTACTACCTGACCAAAAAATCCAAAGTGCCAGGGAAAGAAAAAAAAAAAAAAACCCAATCCACAATGGCTGGCAACCTGGTGGGGAGAAAAAAACAGCACCAGCTCCTCTCTCAAGAAAAAAACCTAAAAATCCCACAAAAGTTCAAACAGCTGCTCCAGCAAAACAGATGGGAACCTGGTGAATCTCTGGAGTTGGTCCCCTCTTCACAGCAGGTAAAGCAGGTGGATTTGGTGTCTCTTCTCTCTCACTGGCTCAGCTTTTCCGAGGTCTGGGGCTGAGGTGGAGCAGCTCCCAGCCAATTCTTCTCCTGCTGGTCATTCTCTCAGGTCTCAGACTTAAAAACAAACCGTACAGTTCACTTCAGAAAAATGGCCACCCAAGAATTGCTGCAGCAGCCTCTCCAAGGCCAGGGAAAGTAAAAAAAAAAAAAAACCTTCTTGCCTAAGCTAACAAAATGTAAGCTAGCTAAGCAAAAAAAAAAAAAAGGATGCAGCCCACATGGCACCAGGGATGCCTGGGGTGTGAGGCTTTGAAAAAACCCATGGAAGAGCCCCAAGGCTCCCCCTCCCCACCTTAAAGCTACAGCAACCATTCCTGGGCATACAGCAGATGATAAGGGAATAGACTACTCATCATAAAATCACCACAAGACACCCATCTTAATCAATATGGGCATCATACTGATTAACCTCCACTCATCTGGGACCTCCCTGGTTAACCAGGACTGATGGTAAATGATGGCAAATGTCTTGGTGAGCTCTCCCACCAGTTTATTTGACTCCCAGTTCTTATCAGTACTCTGAGATCCATATCCTTTAAAAATCCACCTAAAATTCTGTTATGAGATTCGGTCGACAGCTTTGAGACTTGGCTGACAGCCTTGCTCTTCAGGTAAAACTGAGCTTCCTATAATGACATGCAGTTATTTGCACAAGACATTGAGCTTTCTTGTAGGAAGATCTTTAGTTTGTGGGATTAACTGCCATGCAAACTGAATGTCATCAGAACCTCCCACTAATTTTTGATGCACATACAAGGCATGATTTTGAGGCTCCACTGTCCATAATATAAACAATCCCAGTGAGGGAACATTGAGAAAAGCTGTAGCAGGGGCGAGGGAGCAGAGAGCTACTGGGCCAGTAGATGTTGTCCAGTGGAAGTGGCTGGTCCGCAAGTAGTCAAGAAAAACGTGTTCCAGACATCAGAATTTCTTAAATCAGTTCCTTCAAACTATGCCAACAACATGGGAGGAGATACTGTGGAAGCAGGAAAGAAATTCTTTCCCCCAGATGAGGTCAAAGAAGAGGGGACTCTCCAAAAATACATAAGCATGAGTGTTATAAAAGACTCTGTTCCCCCAACTGCAGCCCCAGCATCTAGTCTTACTGCTTGCCCTCTTATAACTTTTCTTGTGCCTGCTTGATGGAGATTTTTTTTCTTTATTAAAACGATGCCCACTGGCAAAAAATGAGACTGAACTTTCCTGTATGCTACATGCATTCCTCAATATCACATATCAAAAAAGTTCCAGTAGACCTTGAAAACCTACAGGGTTGGGGGGTGGAGGGGATGTCTTGGCTTGGGCCACCAGCTTTGATCTTGGACTGAGTGGGAGTAGCTGGATCCTGAGGAGGGAAGCAGCTGGTGTGGTGGTGACTAAGGGGTATTGGAAAGGCTGAGCGGGCTTCCTTGATCTCTGTGAAGAACACAGGAGGAGGAGAAATGTCTTGGCCTAGGCAGGTGATGGTGGGAGGCAGCAGGGGCAGGGGCAGCAGGGGTAGACTGCATTGTCACGCAGGCTCAGCCATTTGGCTGTGACTGTATCTAGGTGAGCTGCTACTGCAAATACACTTGCCTGAAACAAGGTCTGAGAAACCAGGGCATTCCCAGTAATTTCTTGTGTTTGGTGTCAGTGTGTGCAGCTAGCATGCTTCAAATAAACCTGAAGGAGGGCTATGTATGAGGGTGACATGAGTGCATCTAAGCATGACGCTGTGGCAACTTGGCTTCAAATGATCTTTCATTTTATAGAGAGGGGCTAGAGAAACAAGAATATACAGATAAAATCAGCTCTGTACTGATGAGCCTGACATCCAGTTAAAATGTTGGTACCTGCACTTGAAACAGATGCTAAAACATTCAAGACACAGTAGACAAAAAAAGGTACAACTTTGAGTGAGGGAATGTGAAAAGTAATTTTTGGCAAGATGCTGAAGAAGCTCAACCTGTTTGATTTGCCAAGAAGAGGACTGAGATGACTTGATGATAATACACATCTTTAGAAGTGGTCACCAGACACCACAGAATTGTCTTTAAGGAGAAGGCAGAAATCCCTAAGGGTGAACTGAAGCCTACCAACCGTGGTTGGAAATGAGGACACATTTTTAGACATGAGGGTTAGAGCAGGCACTGGAACAATGTGCTATTGACTCATGGGGTCTTCGCTCCAGGCAGTGTTTCTGTCCAAAAGGCATGTACTAGCCAAATACAGAATACACTGTCACTGCCCCTTCATATTGGTCCTTGAACATCTTGTCAGTTTCATCCCCAAATTCGCAGGAATTTAAGAAGCAGCCAAAACTGGCTTGTTACCACAGTATTGCCCCCTCCATTCCTGTCTTCTCTGGTACCTGTATACTCTTTGGGGTCTACCTTAGCACAATCGTTCCCACGTCTAGTGGACAGCCGGAGCTTGCACGCTGCGGGCGGCACGACCACTTCTGTCACTCAAAGCATCTCCTCCCCAGACCACTGCTCTGGGGCAGTCGCCATCCCCACTCTTCTCGATGAACACCCGCACCCGCTAGCTTTTCTCATAAGCGTTCAGGGGACAGACACCGCGGTCGCCTCCGGGAAGTGAAATTCCCTCGGGGCGCACATCCTCGGAGGGGAGACTCCCACTCCCCCCTCGAGCACGGTTTGCCGGGGAGGCGGCGGGCGGGCCCCGAGTCGCCCCGCCCGACCCCGCGGTGCCCGCCGCCAGGGCTGGCCGCGTGTTTCTTGTGGAAATCCCGGAGCCTCCAGCTCCGCCCCGCGCGTGTCCGTGGGCTGGGGC